CTCGCGTTAGCCCTAGGATGGTTTCTCCCGTTGTAGCGTATCTGTTTGTTGTTTACATATGCACTAGCTCATTATAACTTTCTTGTTCTACTAGTCAATCTAGGGGTTGTGTTTCTTAAGCCACAGCATACTAAGGATATATACATAGTTGTCTATGTGTATAATATCGAATTGGATCGTTTCCTTATGTCTACGTAGCATAACTATTTCTAATGGGACTGTCTTGTAGGTCACTATCCCCTTGTTAGTTGAGATGGGCTCTCTATCTACAACTATTAGTAGGTAAGGATCGGTTTTCAATTGCGTCTTAAAACCTTAAGTGTCTGCTACTTTCTTTGTTATAAAGTTGCCCGTTACTCCTAAGTCAATTATAGCTTAGAGGTGTTGCTATTGTATCTTAGCAACTATATATAGCTACATGCTGCCTCCTATAGCGCATAGCTGCTTTGTACTAGGCCTCTCTTTGTCACTTGCTAGTGGCCTACCGTCAAGGACTCCTAGTTTTTTAACTCGTCTAAGGAGTAATAGTAATGTTCATTATCCTCTATAGGCAGTCCTTAGGAAGATTGTCCTCCCTATCCTTCTGCTTCATCTAGTAGGTGTAGGTATTTCTCGTATACCTATTGTTGTTTCTTTAACGGTAGTTCTCCTTTAGACTGACTTTGTCTAAGGGCATGAATTTGGTTTATATCTGTAAAGTAGACCTACGGTGCAATTTTCAGAAATAGTCGATACTAGGTCTTTTTCCATAGGTGACTCTTATAGTCATTGTACTTATAGTGTTCCTAGAATATGTATAGGTGCTAGGGGTGATCAATCCTTAATGCATCTAACTTTGTTAATTCCTGTTCCTCCTTTGTCTTGCCTATAAGCTTGGATTTCTCTATAGTTACACGTAACCTTTCTACATCTCTATTAGTAGGTTCGTAGTCTATAGCAGCTTAGTCTACTTGTAGTTCCTAGGGTTCTAGGCCCTAAGTGTCTTCCTACTGTTCATCTTGCGCGTTATATTCTGCAAGCTTGTATTTCAACTACATAGTAGCTTCCTTAGAGGTGTGGTTTACTCCTTAGGGCTCCCTTCCTTATAGGTACCTAGGGCGACACCTTATGGCGCGAACTGCAACTTCCTAGTCTTACTAAGTACCTATCTATCCTATTAGGGGTGGTGGTATAGGAATTGCTTAGGGAGTTCCCTTTTAGAGCATAGCCTGTCTATAGACGTTAACTACTCCTAGTAGATTCTCCTTAAATGCAATCTCCTTTGCGTCTTCTTTAAACTCCTTTAACTAGAGTTTCTAGGATTCCGTTAGTTCCTTGTTTAGGAGTTCATTCTCCTTTTTAAGTAATGCGTTGAAATCGTCGAGATCTTTGTTGTCTAAGCTCTGCCCTTCTAGGGTGCTAACGCCGTTAATTCCCTAATTAGGTTTGTTTACAAACGTGGCGTTTAGCTGTCCCTTCTAGGTAGCGTTAAGTTGTCTCCTAAACTTCTTATGTCCTCCGTTCCCTTTCTTAGGTTGCTTGTAGTCTTAGGCTATATAGCCTAGCTTGTTGCAATTAAAGCACAACTGTTCCTTAAGCTGTTACTCCTTGTTTAGGTTGTAGGGTCTCCTACTAGGCTTAAACATAGCGTTAAGCTCTATGGGCTAAGGCTAATGACTCTTCTAAGTTCTCCTCTTTTAGGTCTATTAGTAGCTAGATGTTCCTCCTCGTCTTTCAAGTTGGCGTTTGTAGCAACGATTGTCGATTTTTTATACCATCTTAATGAGTTCCTTAAGGTCATCTGGTTTGTTAGATCGAGAAATCTTATCCTTTACATAATCCTTTAACCCCTTATAATATTAGTTATATATAGCCTTGTCTCCCTAATGGGTAAGAGGGGCATGCTACTAAAACTTAGCAGTATACATGACTGTAGACCCTTTCTGTCTAAGGGCCTAAATGGCTTGCACTACGTTCCTTCTCTCATTAACATCTCTAAAGTTCGCCTTAAGCTGTTTAACAAAACCTACCTAAGTAATGAAGATATCCTTAGTTCCCTAATTGGCTGTCGTAGTGACCCTTCCGTTAGCTGCATAGTGGCTTATGTAGTTGGTTAGGTAGTTAGTAATCTAGTCTAAGGCAGCACCCCTTAAGAGGGCTACAGCCTACAAGACCTATTGCACTTTAAAGGCGAAGTGTTTAGCGTTAAAGGCTATCTACAACTCTATCTAGATGAGGAAGCTCTTAAGCTTCTTACAGTCCCCGTTAAAGGTGTCTAGGAATGCAATCTTAAGTTTGTCTAAGGGGTGAGGCCCTCTAGGCGTAGGCGTAGTAGTAGGCGAAGGGACAGGCTCTATAGCCGCCTTCCCTTTCGTCCCTACGTTAGAGGTGGAATTGTTTCTAGCTATGTTGCTTTGTGTATAAGCCAGTACCTTGTAGAAGTGGTGCTTAAAGTGTAACGCTAGGTCTTAAACTATAAGACTTATAAAGGTTTCATTACGTTAGTTTACTTAATAGAGGAGGCAGGGGATCAGACACAAAGGCTTTTGTAAAACACGTTATAGTATATAACAAATACTATATTGAGTTGAGCACGAAGCTCCTATCTAAGAACTATCTATCTACTTATATAGTAGCGTCGTGCTAAAGGGGACTGTGAGGAACTATAGGAACTGTAAGAGTTCTAGCAGTTCTTATAGTTCTATTACGTAAGTGCTATTCTAGTACCTGTGCTGCTTCTAGTACCTGCAACTCTAGTACCTCCTAATTCCTAGGTGCCTAACTGTCTTCTAGTACCTGTAAACCTAGGTACTAGACGCTCATTAGGTGCCTGATAACTAACCCTGCTTTAAGAGCGGCTAAATCGCTAACATGTGCATTGCTACTATACTTAGGGTATCGGCGATAGTGTCGCTAAAAACCCTAGCTGTAACACTATTCTGTATGAAGGTTTTAATCTAACGTCTGTATGAAAGCTTTAGTAGAGCAAAGCAGCTAACGTTAAGTAGTTAAAGAATGTACAAGGAGTGTAGTAGCATATAGAGGGTGATTATCTTCCGTTCTATACAGTAGTGTTGAAATTGAGTAGAGAGGTGGCTCTTATGTCCGTTAAGAATAAGAAGGCGATAGGTTCTAATTGTACAAGCATTTGTATGTTAATCGAAGTGTTAAATCTACTCGTACCTAATTAAATTTAAGGTCCACCTATTCTTACTTAGTGTAATTACCTAATTGTCTAGCAATCCTAAGTCCTTATACTATGTAGAGAGGTGATTCTACGCCTTGAAAATAATGAACAGCAGGAGTGCCCATCTATACAAATTAACACCTTAGATAATTAACACCTACTCTCTATTCCCTAGCTATATAGTCTTTAGACAGCTCTTTGCTTCTAAGCTTGTAACTACCTTTATAGTAGCAATAACTCCTATTGCGAAACCTACTTCATTAAAGTTATAGATATCCTACTCTAGAATTCTATATTTTACAACTGTGTTTCGTATAAGGGAGAACCACCCTTTAATTATCTTTAGATCTTCACATTTTACTCGTTTATAATCGTACTTCTAACTGAACTTTGCTTTAATTTCCATATAGCGCTTTATAAAGTTTATAGTCTAGTTCTTCCTAACAGGGCCCTTGCCTCGTTTAGAGAGTAGAAGGTTAGCCATTTCTTACACATCTTGTAGCTAGGGCAGAAATCCACGCGAATCTAGGTTAAGGATATACTAAACAAGAGCTGACTCTTCGTACAGAGTCAATTTTTGTAAGTTAGGGGTAGAGTTGCGTCGAGAAATACCACTACGGGCGCGTCGTCTAAGTGTTGTTTTAGGGACATCGTACAACATTACAGCAGCTCGAACACTTTGAATATGGCCTTCTTTAATTGATTAAATAGCTAGAAGTATCCTACCCTCTTAATTAGAGGACTTAGGTTGAGTTAGTAGTGCCATTGTTTATGTAAGTAAGTTAACGCGTTTTTGGTGTTTTAGTGCGCTACTCGTTTGTGTGCGCCACTCGTATGTGAAATACGTTATCTATATATCTAATATATCTAATTATGTAAATTCTCTTCTAGGAGAGTTCTTCTAGTAGACTAACTCTTCTAAGAGAACTCTTCTAGGAGCCTATTACTTCTAGGAGAATCCTTCTAAGAGACTTCTCTTAAGAGCGTTCTTAAGTAAGCCTATATCCCTATAATCTACGTTTAAAACACTATAACCTAGATTACTCCATTTATTAATATGTTAGTATAGGGGTTGTAGAAACCTACTATAATATCTAGGCTATATAAGGCTCCCTATGCCCTTAGCTCCTACCCTTTTATAATGTGCTAATTAGATGTTCCTCTTAACTCTCTATAAGATAGGGAAGATAAAATAACATAATTATCTAATCTTGTTTACTAAAGCCTTAGTTTACCTTTCCATTTACAACTAAACTTTTATAAGCTATAAAGACTAAGTAGAGTGCATTTAACTTATATACGCTATTCTTAAATGCGTAACTAGGTTATACATTCGAACGAACGCTGTATGTCATTAGTTAAATAAGCGAGGCGAGATCGTCGAAATCCAGTGCTTCAACCTGCAACTCTAACTTGCAACTCTAACTCTAGAACCGCATTCTTCAACCTCTAGGACTCCTAGAGGTTCGACGTTGCATCCCATTCCTAGGGTCTCGTGTTTGCGTATCCCACGACGAAAGCATGCATGCAGGCGTGGTAAGCCCTGTTTATCTAACATTAGGGGGCGTGATTTACCATTTTTACAGCACCGCGATACCAAAAAAATAATAAAGTAGGACCCACAGATATGACGCATGACAGTAGGCATGGGGTTTCCTATCTAGGAGTATATCTGTATCTAGTTGAACAATATGAGGTAGATTGATGCTTAAAGTCGAGTAAGACTCTAGATAATTTTCGACCTACAATACATGACATAGTCAGTATTTTGAGAAGAGTAACAGCGTAAAAGAATTGAAATGTGGGAACGTGGGAATCGATTTAACACTGAGATTCATTTGTCGGGGGGTCGGTTGTCGACAAGGTGGAGGTTCTGGACGCAGACGTGAGCAGCAACATCGGCATAGGATGGGCTAGGGCTGCTTTGTCCTGAGGTTAGAGCCGCCATGCCTTCCACCATTTCCTGCTTGGTCCGATTCAGCTCATCCTTGACCGCTTGAAGTTCGTCCTTAACCCGACCCAGTTCCGCCTTCATCGCCTTATTGTGTGCTTCTTGTTTCGTCCAGGCTTCGAGGATAATTTTAAGAATGCCCGTCTGCTCGTTCATCTGTTCCTGTAGTGTCTGTAGCATCGTGCGTCCTCCGTCTCTGCCCATCTCATCGTTTTGTGTATCAGGGGTTGTCGCGTTCCGGGAAACGCCTCTCAGTCGCTTCCTAGAAGGTGGGAGCACCATGTCGAGTGAGCTCTGAGCCTCTCCATCCTGTTTCGCCTTCGTGCTTGGCTTTCGCAGACGTCGCTGCCAGCGGCCGTTGCTCTCCTCCCCTTCCGACGCGACCACGATCGCATCTTCAGCTTCAACTTCCATTTTCAGCGACGATTTCTACGGGAAGAGCAGCGCCGTTGACTACGGCAGTGATAGCAAGGATTGCCGTGGCCATTATAGCTAATAGGGAACTTTAGAGGATCAGTAGAGGCAAAATGATCAAGCATAAGGTTAACATACGGCATCTTTGATGATTGCACAATACAGAAAATCGGGGTTATATTGTAGTATGTATCGCGAAATTGGTTGTTTATGACGTCGGTGTCAATGTCAATGGGAAAGATGACTTTGGGCTCACGGCGTTGATCCGGGCATCCTGGGCCGGGCGCGACTCGGTTGTGAAGTTATTGCTTGAGGGGGGAGCTACGGCTTCAGGCTGGCAGGGAAAGACGGCGGTGACGCGTGCATCACAGAATCATTATTTCGATGTTGTAAAGATATTACATGATCATGGAGCTCAGAAAGGTGTTTAGGCCTGCATTATGACGAATTATTTAGATGGAATTCACCAAAACTAACCATGTGACCTTGATGTAGCAATTTAACTGAAGAATCAGCTTCATTCCCCGTATCGTTTTGACCTAAGGAACCAACTTCCTTCTCAAATCCTTATGATCTTCTCCTCATATATAGTCCTAATAGCTCGCTCATGGCCAAGGTCTCTTTCCGTTTCCCTTTCCCTTTAACCCGACCAAACAGCTGGGCCTGGGAGATTGTAGCTAGTTGGGAAGGGAGCCCAGATATTATACTTGATACCAGGGTCTGTCGGACTATAAGCTCCCGGGAAAGAGACAAGAGGGCCAGGATTTCCACTGCCACCTCCTGTGACGGTTATTTGAGCACATGATACGAAAAATTCTGCTCCAGGGAACATGGCAGAGTCCAAACCGATGTGTTCAACGCGGAGAAGATAGTCGCCAGAGGGGAGGGACTTCGGAATTGTGACGTATACTCTCTCCATAACTGTTTGAGGGTTAGAATTAGATCGTCCTGGGAATTTTGTAAATGAGGTGTGGTAAACTTACAAAGGGCGGGGAATGTAATGGATAATGGGGTAATTGTTGGTCCAAGAGCATAGATCTTAAACCAGACCTCACCAGACCCATCCCAGCTCGCAGCAGTCTGGCCACTGGGCACCTTGGCCATGTAAAACTGGAGGGGACCGCTATGAAATATGGGAGGACTGGCGGTAAAACCAACTTGGGAGCCGGCAGCGACGGGCATAGTCTGGGTAGCGGGAAGAGATGGATCGAGATTGCAGCGAATATCGACGCTGTTGACGTCCGTAACAGGAGAGCGATCGAAGTGGTTTGCTGTCATGCGAACATATTGCCAGTCTGCAGTCGTCACGCCTCCTGCAATAAGCTTGGGGAATGTATCTAAATGCCAGTAAGAATAGTTCGCACTTCTTAACAAGCCGATTTATGGTTTTGATGATACATACAATGCGCATTGGCAATGGCACAGGCCACAACAAGAAGGCTTGCAGAAAGCTTCATTGTGCTAAATATGATTGCTTAATATTACTTTGAGATGAGATGCGATGGACGTGTATGAAAAATTATATTTGCTGGGCCGACAGCGAGCTATTTATATTTGCTCAACCCCTATAGACAAAATCCAAGGTAAAGTAGTCCATAAGACCAACAGTGTCTATTTGACCTTTTTATGACGATCTTGGTAAGATATGACAGCACAGCTGAGATAGTACCGCCAAACAATTTCCGCAATGGTAAAATATGTTCCAACAACGCAACACCGCGTAAAGATGCAAGACAGGTTCCTAAGACGAGATATTGGACCTAATTGGTAGAAGGTTGTATTACGTTCAGCTTGTCT